GGTCCCAGAGAGCGTGGGTGTTATGAATCTCCTTTTCAAAAAATTAACGTTTATGTGATAGACTGATAACATGTAACCAGAATTAGGAACTGCCCTCTCGATGCTGAAGAGGTGAAGTGTGGTGGGTGTACGGAGGGAGAGAGGAAGGCACAAAGGAGGCTTGGGCAGAGTGCTGGAGTTAACGCTTCTTACAGAAATGCTGCAGTTGGCATATCTGGCCAGTGACCTAATGCGTCTTCTGTTTCTCTTCTCGCTTGACTTTCTGAAGAGAATGTAAACTATTATTTTGTTTTTCATCCAGTGCTTGGTTGTCCCATGTCATAGCATTTAAAGAATCTGCTTTTCTTCCCTTTTCTTTTTAGATGAAGCTCCAGAGATGCTGCCTGACCTAGTTTTAACTTAACATGTACTGAAATGGTTGAATTTTACATGCACTGGCAACTTTCCTTTTGCTTAAATAAGGGGGCGGAATTCTATTCTTAATTAAATACACCACACTGGAGATTTATAGGCAATTGGCATGACCTGGCAGGAAAACTGGGTAATTCTTGATTGATCTAGTAACAAGTATTCTTTTTATTTTAGTGCTTAAACATTTAGTTCATTAACAAGTTTAACAAACTGCCTGACATATATAGAGAATTTACTTAAAATGAAGGCTTTGGAGTAGCATACTGGATTGAGTTAGGCTGAAGTTACCTGCATTAAAAGTGATTTTGCTATAATGGAAGTATAAACATTTTATACATCAAAATTTTTGTTTTGCAGATGGCTTATTCAATCAGTATATCAGTCAACAAGAATACAAACCTCGCTGGGGGCAGATCATCCCCAAAAGCACCAAAGGTAAGGACATGTCTTAAGATATAACTCATGTACTGCCAGTTCTATCTTGTTCCTTTGAAGATATTGAGCAAGAAAATGATGCAAGAAAGCCTCCTCTAGGACAGTTGTTCTAGGGAGTGGTTTCGTCTGTGAAAAGTTTACATTTGTCTGCAAAGTCAGTGAAATGCAACCTGGTTTCTGGTTGAGTAAGGAACACTACAGGAACACTACAGGAACACTAGCTGTAATTTCAAGGGTAGCTAATCAGTTCAGAAGCAAATTTCAGAATACAGATTAAGCATGAGAGCAGTTACCTGTATGACTGGATTTAACGCATGGACTCAACTTAAATGTACAGCAAAGAGTGGCAAATAAATACATTATCTTAACAGGGAGTATTTTAAATTTGAGATGCATCTTTTGAAGTCTTGGTCTGTTATACAGTAAATCTAACCTGCAGACTCTTTTTCCATTGCTTTGTGCATTGAGAGGAGACTCGTAGCGGCAGCCTTGACTACAAAGTACAAAAATCACTGTCATACAGCAAATGTAGGATTCAACGTGACAATTGCCAAACGTGGAGCACCGTACCCAAACCTCTTGGGAAGGGTTATCTATGAATACAAGCAGATTTCTCTTCCAGCAGAACACGGGTTATCTTTCTAATGTTGCTTCCTATAGATGACACCTGTCCTGATTGCTTAAGATATGTAAACTGATTGGAAAGCTGCTTTAACTGGACAGTTGGAATTCCCTTCTATGTGATAATAAGCAATTGGTGCAAAGCTAGCTATGCTATATCTATACCATTACCGCTTTGCTTCCATCCCGTGGGTACATTGCCTGTCATGTGAGTATCTGTTCTCACTGCTCAGCCTTCAGGCAGCTCTCAGGTGCGGAGAGATGGAAGGTGAGCAAAAGGTTGTCTGTGTCCTCGCCGCTGGAGAGCTGCGAAGATAGCTCAGACCTCGTTTGTGTGGACCTGCGTGCTTCAGGAACTCTCAAGCTCCTTTCCAAGGCTCTCAGAATTGCAGTAGAGTACTGTATTCACTTTAGCTATCTGTACTATCAGTCACCAGATAATTCAATATAAAACTCTGTACAGTTTTATAATATTACTTGGAAAAAGTGTTGTGCTAATGTTTAAAGAATGGCCTACTAAGTTAGGCTGTACGTGGGGTTGTATCTTTCTTTGGTTTAAAAATTTTGTAACGGAAAACTCTGCCCTCCCTCTTTTTTAAAGGTGATGGGGAAGACAGCCGACCAGGGATGAGAGGTGGCCATCAGATGGTGATAGATGTTCAGACAGGTGAGTAGTTGCTAAATTTCTTAACTAAATTATTTAATCAGATATTTTTCAGATAAATATGCAAATGTGTTTTTTTTCTTCAGAGACTATCTTAACTTCAGGTTTTGAGGAAAAAATTGCACTTTCTAATAGTTGGATTGAATACTGGGCTTTCTCTCTGGAATTATACTCCAACTGCCTTTCCCACCCCCTTCTTCCCTATTAGTTCTCTGTTACGCCTTAGTCGTTGTCTTGTCTTAACTAGGAAACCGAGAACAATTGTTTTTAATTTTTTGTCCCTCCTACCCTCCTTGAGTAGGAGCTTAAACAAGAGAAGAGAAATTAGGGATGATAATATCTGCTACATACTGTGCTCTCTGGAATAATGCTCAAGCAATAGATCTGATGTGTTGAAACATTCCTTGTATTTTGGTTGGAGTGGCTTCTAATTTCCACAGTGTGCAAGAAACTCCTGTTAAATATAATTTGTTAGACATTTTTTACAAAAATGTTTCCTATAGCAGTTTAAAGAATGGTTCAGCCCCTGTTTCAAAGAGCTTG